GTTAGAGCTGGCAGTAAGCCCTGATATCAGAAAGTTGGATGCTTACATTCTATGAGTTATTTTCCTTTCATCCCTGAAAATCAAAAGTTGCTGAGCACTTTGGCTTCCTGTTCAAAGATTTCCATTTTAGATGCTCACAGAGCACTGTGCCCAGAATGATCAAAGATACTGTGAGGAAGACTTCAGGTGAGTGCTGCCTACTTATCAGCCTCCCAAGAAAGGACAGTGTAGCTTCCAGAACTGAGAGTAATTTTTTTAGTGGCAAGAATGAGGATCATACTTCATGACTGAAAATATCCAGATGTTTGATAACTTATTGTACAAAAATATTTAACACACTCTTCAAATCGGCCAAAACAAAAATGTCAAACAATATTGGAAAGGACAAGAGCCACAACGATCTTCTTCAGACTAGCCCAGGAGCACATAGGAGATATTCACATTGTTAACCTATAAACAGTTCTTTGCTGAAAAAACTGACACTTTACCACCTACATGCTCAGTGGAAGTGCACCAGTTATTAAGAAATATTTTTTAAGCATTTCAGATAGGAAAAACAAACAAATCCCCTGGGGAAGGCTTAAACAGGAACATTTCAGCTGAAAACAACAATAACTATAGTGATAAAAATCAAAGATAAAATACATGATTAAATATATGGTAAAAGCACTGACCCAATCATGAAAGCATAATTGATAAAATATAAGTGAGGCCAGGCAATGATCTCTGTGGGGACTCTGGTACCTCTGGGTCCAGCTACCATCTCAAAACCTGCATCAGAGGTAAATCAAACTGACAGCAAGAGCCAGCAAATGCTTAAAATTCCATTGCCTTTTCCAATGGCTCCTAGATTTCATCACATTTTCAAAGGTGCCACAACGTCCATGTGCTTCAACAAAAGGTAGTTAGGGATGGCAGAAAACCATCCGCCACATGTTTGAAAATATTCCTTCAATTAAGTTAGCAAACATAAATAGAAATTACTTAAGAATAAATTACTACATAAAACCAATAGAGCTGGTGTGAAGGTTCTTCCGTGTACTGTGGGACCTCCAGAAGATGTTATCCTTTTTTTAAACTATGGATAAGTTCATGGTTTGAAAAGAGTTCTGAAAGGCATCAAAGAAATTGTCAGTATGTTATGAACAAATTCAGAAGGAAAAATAATGGTCTATTTCTCAGCTTTAGAGAAAATGCTTTTTCAGGCATTTAAAATGCTTCTTATAGTCCAAATGTCTGGTGGCATTAGTTCCTGGTCCAGATAATTAAGTACTACCTTGTTTTCGATTATGATGCTATGTCTTAGGGGTAGAAGAGTCTCAAGGGACCCAACCCCCTCTTCACAGTATGGAGGCACATTACTGAGGCTCTATTTGAACACTCTCTGCCTCTAGACAAACCCCTAATATAATTTAAATAATTACATGAGCAGTGGGGAATGGAGAGGAAGGAATCCATGAGAACCCTCCATTTCCTTTTGTACCTTCTAGTGAGTCTAGAATTCTTTCAAAAGTTTTAAGAAATATTTGTTGAAAAAATAAAAATACAATTAAAATAATTACATGAAAGATCACCTAACTGATTTCTTTCCATGGTGAGGTATCACAGGTTCAGTGACAGCAGGTCCCTGGCTGAAATACTGTTAACCTCTCTCTTTCCCCTAAGGCACCAAAGAATGAATTCTGGAAATTCTAAATAAAGCTCAGAGATCTAGATGAGCACTGATACCAAAAGACCACATATTTCACTACCTCTCATGTTTAATGAGCTACTTCATTGTGTAGCATACATGTTACCTAGCACTGTCAATTGAATGAAGATTTCTGCCTCATTTGGACCAACTCTCTGGTCAAGGTCCTCCACCTACCTGTGTCCAAGTCCACCAGAGCAGCCTGCAATTCAAGGCAGAGGCTCCCAGCTGGACCAACAGCACCTAGTACAAGAGTTGACCTAGTGTAAGAGTTGCCCAACTGCATCTGGGGACCATGCTGAAGCAATAGGCGCTTTGAAAAGCAAAATATTTAATGGCTGGTGAAAAACATCATTCACATGGAATTTAAGAGGTAAATGCATGTATGGAAGTGCCAGGCATGTGCTCTTGGCAAGGATACATTGTGGGAGAAGTAAAAAAAAATGGGAAGATTAACAGAATAGAAAGCCAACACATATTGCCCTCTGAGGAAGGAGCAGACCAGTGTCAGCGTCATTTGAGTTTTTTTTAACCCCATACCTTTTGTCACACATAACTGAAGTTCTGGAATATTTTAAAACACTAGCTGCTTTTGAAAAGAGGTCTTTTTTACTCTGGTAGATCACATTACAGACCAGAGACCACAAATTTATTTCAAGTTCAATTTTTTTGGTTTTCAAAATCACAAACTTCATTGCAAACATTCCTCCATGACTCCAAAATGGAGATATATGTCATATTGCTAAGAAATCTTTAGTTCCCAACATTATGAAGTATGAATTTTTCAGTTTAAGCCAACAAATGGCAATACTGCCCAATTTGAAAAAGGCTGCCTGACAGCTCAAGGAAGATGTTTTAGTCGGAATACACATGTAACCCAGCAGATAATGCTTCAGAAAAGCAGGCCAAGGCTGACCTCTACTTTTCCCAAGAAACTTCCCCTCTTGATCTCCACCCCCATCTCCTTAGAGGCCTGGGCTGGGGCTGGGGCTCAGACATTTCCCAGACTATGTTCTGCTGCTGGACCCAAGACACAGGCAGGCAGAGAACTGGGACAGAGTCAAGTCCCACCACACATTTTATGAATTACAGTGCCTGGGAGGCATCAGCTTTAAGGAGAGGCAAAGGCAGAGATAAAGAAAATGTGCAGAAAGTACATAAAGATAAATGTCTGTAAAAATCACTGTTGTTTTAATGCATTCCATATTGAGGAAATAAAAATGTGAATATTCTTGATGTTTTAATGGCAACAGTGTCCAGCTAAAACCTATTGTGCAACTAGACAATTATGCTGTTTTCATGCAAATGTTTAGAGTAGCTGATCCTGATACTCAATTACAATTTTAGGAAGCTGGGTTAGTGCAGCAAAACACCTTCTAAATACATAGCACATCACTTTTCCTCATGAAAGCTAATAAACATGAGGCAGATCTCCCATGGCCCAGCAGCAGTGCTTCTCTGCTTGCTGCAGGATTGTTCAGTGCTACTTACCTAGCTTCGGCCTTTGACCCATTGCTGGATGGAGTGATTCTCAGTTGTTCATTTGTCAGACTTGTGTTCAAATTCTGACTCTGATTCTTATGTAACCTTGATGAAGCTACTAAACCTATATAAGTCATAGTTTTCTTATCTATAAAATGGGGATATGATATTTTCTGTGTTGTGGGTAAGATTAACTGGTATACAATACTGCAGATCAAGACTTTAGAAGAGTATCTGGTACACTGTAAACATAAAATGTGAATAACCTATTATTATTACTAGTATAATTATTAATATTATCAGTATTATTATCTAGGGCTTCTCTCTATGACCTATTGCTTCTCAAAGTCATAGACTAGAAGGCAGGAGAACTACATTAGGGTTCACCTCTTTCTGACAAGTCCAATCTCCAGAAGATAATGTTTGGTCCTGAAATACAGTTCCAAAATAGTCAGGTAGATAAGTCTAAAATTAATTGTATTTTTAGGAACAAGTAGATTAACACAAATTTCCCACATTTTTAAATAAAAATTAAAATGAAGCCCATAAAGATTTTAGTATGTATACTTATCTCAAGGAAAAAATAATTCTCATAGTGGTCACACCGAATGAAAGTCAGATGATCATCAAATTAATGCTAAGATTTTAAAATGAAATATTGATTTCGTATTTGAATATATTAAATATATTTATATTTGAAAATGTTGATTTTTTTAAATTATTCTATCCAATTAATGCATAGTTACTTAACATTGAGAATATATTTGTTTGAGCATTCACCTGTTCATAATGATGTACCTATCCCACCTTGCAGAGGAACTTGGCACTTGCAAAGAGTAATATATTTTACTAGGTTGCTAGAGAGTCATTTCTAACAAGATCCAAAGTCTTACATCTGGCAGGAAGCAGAGGCAACATTTGAACCCAGGTGTTTCGGCTGCTAAAGCCGCCAGCTTTCCATGTCTTCTGCGTGTCTTGAAGTCTGTGAGGGCCTCAATAGTGCCTTGACCAGAGCTGGCAAACCTTGACTGATTTACTAAAAATTTGCTGATCTCTGTCATATGGGCTGAATATAGGAAAAACAAATTCTGCCTAATGCTGAACCAATAAGAAATCCTCAGAGGTTATGGAGTTTTGTAAGATTACTCAGAAATTCTTTTCTTATATGAAATACAGGAAAAAGCACTGATAGCAAATTTCTTTTCAGAGTCCATACCCCACATAAATATAGTATGGATATGATTTAACCTGAAAACCTAAACACTCTGGAACTAATATAACCTCCTTTGTTTTTAGACAGAATTTGCTATCAGGTAGACTCTATGCAAACACATTTCTTTACCAACTGCCATAAGGTCCTCTTACAAGATGAATTTGTTGTGGTTTGCGTGCCCAAAGACATCCAAAAGATATGAATACCTTTCCCTTTCTCCTGTGTTGAATGAATTCGCAACCACATTTTTCCTTTTTCTTTGTTCGATACAAACCTAAACCACAAATACTTGTCTTTGATGGGAAAAATCTGAAGTTTCAGGTAGTCAAAGCCTCAATCTCTTACATACTCCACTGCCAGAAATGTTAGGTCATGACCATCCCTCCAGAGAGTTGACATTTTCTTAGACACTAAAGAAACACATATACATTCAAAAGAAAACTCAATTTTGCCTTTTGAGAGTCCTGCAGAAACACATCATCCCTAACAGGCCATCTTCCTCATACATAACTTGTTTCCAAGCTGAAATATGGAACGTACATTCCCTGAGACGGGCCATGAGGCAATCAGTGTGCACTCACTGTCGACAATTCACAACATGACTGCAAACTTTACCTCTCGAGTTCTGCAATCTTCTTGTCCTTGTCATTCTTTTCATTCTCCACCTCCTTGAGGATCTCCAGCAACCGGTCGACTTCCGCCTGGGCCTTGCCACACTCATCACGGTAGTAAGACGCCTCTTTATCAAGCTGTTTTATTCGGTCAGCAAATTCAGGGTTCATCCTGGAGTCATCTTCAATATTATGAGCCTTCAACATTATATTTTTAAAGAAGGTAGTTAAGACAACAATTTAGAACAATATCTAGTGCAGCCACCAATGGCCCAGAAATTGACTTTGGAGAAAAACAATAATAACAACCAAGAATTATGGGTATACTGTCAGTTAAAAGCAAAATGAAAAAAAAAAATACATTTCAGCTACCTTAGAGCAATGTTGATTTTAAATTATATCACACTTTTGCAGGGAAGTTTCTTTAATGGGTGATATTTTGTTTCATTAGATAGTGTTCTTTTTAATTTTTTTGCCACCAAAAAGTGGGGGCTAGGTGCAGGTAGAGACTGTGATGTCTTTATTCCTGGTTATTTGGCAAGCAGAATTAAAATAATTCAACTCCTCACAGTTAGGGAGGTAATTCATACCAACTGCTTTCATTTATGATGTTAAGAAGCTGAGATAAAATAATATTAAATTATTTTTCCAAGAACTGTTAAGGGCATATATAAGCCAGGTAACACAGGAGACTAGCTGGCTACTCATTGAATACTTCATCCCGAGAAATTTCAGCAGAAGATGTAGTTTGAAAGAAAGACTTACAAGGGAGTAAGAGCTTTCCAGCTAACAGTCATACCCATAAATTCTTGTTCTCTTGATTAATTTTAACCTGAACCAGGAGGAGGATGAGCTAATTCGTGAACAAGCACACAGACGAGAATGCAAACATGCATGAATGGATGGCAGCTTTACACACAAGAATAGACACAAGCAACAACACAGCAACAACCCTGCAGAATAATTTGCAGCCAAAGTATTTGTGGGGTGTGTGTGTGTGTGTGTGTGAGTGTACTATGGCTTTTTTTTTTTTTCCCAAAATAAACTTTTGGCTGAAATATTCCCAGACAGATGGAAATAACACTGCACCGCAATGTTTTGCCTACCCCTTGTTTCCCATTATTCCTAATTGACTTCTTCAAAGAGCAGGCAGGGAAAAAACAAGTAGTTTAACAACAGTGCACATTCAACAGAGAAAGTTCAGAGAAGTCATATATGTATGTATCTCCCAAAATCCATTTGTGAATTAATAAAATGTCAACAATTTATTAAGACTTAAGTTGTGCTGCTGTCTTACTATACAGAGCGGATATTCATTGTGATTTTATACACTTTTTTTTTAATTTCAGGGAAAAAACAAGGCAAGCAAGCTACAGCTACTAGGGTCAAATGAATCATGCATGGTTAGAAAAATTAATACTATTACTACTGTTAGGTTGACAGTCTTTGCAATGATTTAGTAGAAAAAAATTCAAAAATTAGTATAAATAAAAATAAATTTCTTATTTATGACAAAATAATCATTTTTATAATAATACTTTTGCATGTAACATATTATTTAAGCATGAGGATAAAAGGTGAATAATTTGTTTTCATGTTCTTTAATCTAAGATTGCCTTCTTCAAGAAATAACTGTAAAGGAACATGGAAAAATGTAGCAATACAATATACTATCAGGTATTGATTCACACTCCTTTACTAACATTTACAGAAAATAATTATTTTCATTTATTTAATAGCATTTTTATTGGGTTTTATTATAATAAATTATTGAGCTTTGATGGTTTAATTAAAATAATCTGAAAGGAAATCTGAGCTAATATGCCCTTAAGAGTTTATCCACCTAGCAATTTTATTTTTGAATTAAGTAATGAATATTTAAGTTTGTTTATATTCAATTAAAAAACACATGTATAGACATTATATTTCCAAAAAAAATTACTCCATATACTTAACATCTATTTGTGATAGGAATCAGCTAATTACTGTCATATAAACAGAAAAGTAAAATGTATAGTTTCTAAATTGTTAAGAAAAAATAAAAATTTTGTAATAATTCCCTCCCATTTTTTAACTTTTTTACCACTATTTTATTGCAAATAAAACTTTCAAGGTGTTCTTTTCAAACTACCCAACAAGTGACATTAATATCTTTAAAAAAAGAATTAACTGAGTAATGAGTAGCTAGAAAAACTCATAAATTGATAAATATTCTTTTGATTACCTATTCCTGACTTGGGTTAAAATTCTTTTCTTGACTGATTTAAAGATTTACAAGAGCTAGCAGTTAGTCACTGTGGTTGTTTTAATTCTTATATGATTATCACCATTATTTTTAATAAGTGGATACAGGATAACTAATTGTTGAGACCCAGATTCTAAATCTACCCTGTGTCTTATGACTATGGACAAATAAATTAGTTTCTCTAAGGACCAAAAATAACTACAAAATGACAAACATGAGAAAGATATTATTTCTATTATTAATGACTATTACTGTATTTTTTTGGTCCCATAAGTGGGGTTAATGCACAGTTAATAGATCTAATTAATTTTCATCAATAAGTTACTGCATATGCTTTAGAGAAGCCTCCCTAATAAGTTTACAGAGAAAACAGTCTGGGAAGGGAGGTATGTGATCACTTCCCTTACGATAGATCTTTAAATAAAAGAAGATAAGGTAAGACCATATTTAAACATGGGGCAAAGTCAGATTGATTGGTTGTCTTTTTACCCCACTGAGTATGATTAAAGGATCTGTAAGATGTTTAGAAGTCTAGAAGGCCTACGGAAAAAACATGACTCAATCTAGTCTATATCACTCTTGACTCCCTGAGACAATGATGTTAGATGTTATTAAAATAAATACCACTGCCAAGTTTACAGCTGGCCTAAGTTTTGTTAGATGGTACTTATGGGTGATAATAAATTTTCCTTTTAAAAATAACAGACTACCTCAAGAATATATTTGAGTTAAATATGTCTTTCTATACATATGTCAACATGTACTGGTTTCTGAGCAAAACAATTCATGTGAAACCACCTTCAATATTGGTGCCAGAATTCTTGGAAGGGCTATTAAGCTTGTAAATAGATAGTATTTAAAAAGTTTTTAAGTCAACAGAAAGTTTCAAGAAAAGGTCATGTAGACACGGAAGAGTAACAGCAGTTTCTGGATCATTTATATGAAGATTCAAGGGAAGAGAGAGTTTCATATAATGGAAGGCTGGTGACTCCCAGATTTGTCCTGAGTAGTACACCAGAAGATACAACAGGTAACCAGTTCTGTACATCCTTCTCAGAGGATGGTCTGAAATTGTTAACCAGTATAGCATGAGCATGTTACTCTGTGATCTACAGACATGGGAATGATCCTATACTGAAGAAATAGAAAAAAAATGAGCTTATAAAATCAGTGCTTCCTTCAAAGTTAGAAGGGCAGAGCCTCCTCTAAAACTGGAGTAAGTACTTAATTTCTAGTTAGACAACAACATTTTCTTTCTTTAATTTTGCATCACTGTTTATTTTTTCACATTATATTGATAGGATTTCTCTTGCCTTTTTAAATTAAAACATGGGTTATTTACTCAGGACTAGCAGTTCCTGGTGGGGATCAAAAGTAGATAATAGATTTGGAGCTAATGTACTATGGACAAAATAATAGATATATTTGAATAACTCACAATTTGGACAAATTCCTACCAATCTGAACCATTTAAGACTTAAACCGAAAATAAAAGTATTGAATAGTTATTTCACTTTGTGGAAACTGATTTGAAACTTAGTTCTCCCAAAAGTTCAGGAAGAGATAGCCCATTCCATTCTTCCAAGGTGTATCAACTTTCTTCCTATCTTCATTAGATGAGACTCTAGTTCTTGAAAATGCAGACTGGTGGGTTTAAAAGCTTAAAATATAGCCAAGAACACTGTCACTTTCAAAGACATCCATCAGTTATTAAAACCAAAGGACTGTCAATGAGCATTCTTTTCTTAATGTAATTTTGCTGATTAAATAGTTCAGCTTAAAAGTACATCCAGTTTCTGGTTCTGTCTCAAGATATTTCTAGTAACTTAGAGAAACTCTCGAGCATCTCAGAGAATCACAGAAAACTGGGAAAAGAACATTTCTGAAATGTCTGTATTATATACTAGATCAGTACATTTTGAGGGCCCCCTCAATTATGTTTCTTGTATTTCCGTATGTAAGGAAATTTCCCCACAAATGGGAATAATCAAAACAAAGTTTGGAGCCTAACTGATGTGGGCAAGCCTTGGCATTTTGATGTGAACTGATTCTGAAAGCCTAAATATCAAGCACAAAAGAGAAATCTGGTCATGACTTGGGACAAGCAATATATAACAGCATCTAGTGGTTATTTTAATGAAAGAATTTAGAACTATTCAGGAAGTACAGAAAAAGTTCAGATTAATACTATATTCAAATACTATAGTTAATATTAATTTAAAGTTAAGAGTAAACATGGCAAAGGCCAAACCAGGGATTGATAGTATCAATAGGACAAATCGCAAATATTTATACTCCTTTTATAAAGTTGGTCATTGATTATTTCCAATAAAATGCTAGTTCATCTTTCCAAGCACCTAGAAATGAAAGAATTAACCAGAAATCTACTGTGAAACTAGGCACGGAATATTCAATTATAACATTTATATAACATTCTGTCTTTGAAATGGACCCTAACAATTTCAATAAAAAAATCTTTTCTCTCAAAATAAACACATGATTAGTCATGATCATAAAGTACAAGCAGAACATTAACAAATGAATCTGATGATTTTCTTCCATGCTGCTTGTGGGTTTTAACAATAATTTAATAGATTTATATACTGTAAAAATATGATTCTCATTTGCAGCACTCTGTGAGTTCAGGGTCTGTTAATAGAGCTTTGACATTCCTTACGTATCTTAATGGCAGAACAGGGTATATAAACTACTTCAAACATTATATTTGATTTTAATCTTCTAAAAGACATTCCAATATTCACATAATTCTGTGTTAAGAATGAAATATTACTTTAAAAACAAGGTGAACTACAGTTAAGGGTGACATAGGACAGTAACGTAAAATTTAAATTGTATTTTAAACTCAGTTAATAACAAATATAATAGCTGAGATTTAATAAAATATTTGGAAAATAACAATGTTGTATCTTTTAATCTTACACTATGTAGTTCT